CTTCTTCAGTAATTCAAATACATCTGGTGTTGTTTTTATTTACAATTAAGGACGCCATCGTTCTGTGCCAGCGGTTCTGCAGCTTCTCCGTTGTGCCACAGGATCTGGAGTTTGCCCAGTTGGAGCTGTGATGTTAAAATGTCCTTCAGTACATCCAAAGTTGAGTCTGAAAGATCATTAACTTCCACCATCAGGGTCTTTTGTTCTGTCCAAACCTTGTTGATGCCTCAAAAACCCAATTTTAGAATTTTTATTTCAGGCATTAAAGCTCACAAAGGAGAAAAAAAAGTCACATCTGCGCAGCGACCTGAACAAAAAAGCAAACTGTATCTGAAGTTTATCTTAAAAAAAGAATCGGGATCCCGTCAGTGAGAGCGCTCTCATGTTTTTACGTTCCCTCATTAAACGCTTTGCTGTCAGTCACTCCCCGGCGTGCACGTCTCCCTCCTCTAAAACGACCCAAACCCTTCAATCAGCATGAGACGGCGGGTTGCCAGGTTTGAAGGGTTCAGATGATCCCCCGCCTCTGAAAGTAATTAACGGCTGGATTACTATCTGAAGACGGCGTCCTCGCTGAAACACACACTCCTGGATCCATTCAACACACACACATTTGCACAATTACACACCAATATGCAAATGCACACAGAGCCCCCCCCCCTCTCTTTGAGACACATTTAGCATGCAAACGTACAGCACACAGACTTCTACACTCTGCTGCTGAACCTTTTGTTTTCCCTTTTTATTCCTTCTGGGGAGCCAATTATTTTACAAACTATCTGGAGTACAGTGAACACGGTCACGTGCTGCTCTGCCCTCCGTCACCGCGTGTTTGTGCATTTAGGTTTGAAGCTCATTTCAGCTCCTTTTGATCAGCCTGAACACACGTGTAGACCGTCTGAGGACAGATCTCCTCAGCTGAACTCGCACATCCTGTCGTGTTGTTTGTGTACCTTTTTTGTAACTGAAGCAACTGCTGTTCAGAATCGATCAGCTCTTCAACACAGTGGAACACAGAAACCGCAACAAGCGTTTTTTTACTATAAATGCTCACGACGCCGTCAGCTACAGCGCGGACTACAGCAGGAGTATAAACTGGCCTTACAGGGGACGTGTGTTAATGTATGAAATCAGCTGCGTCTGCATCATCGTACTGCAGCAGGGAGAGTTTGCAGCTGTACGTGCGACCATGGGAACACAAAGTCTCTGCGGTATCGTACATCAGCCTCCCTCAGCCTTGCTCTGGTGTCTTCATGCGACCTTATAGAAATAAAGTTCTGTAAACATTCACACATTTCCTCATAAACAAACTTTCCTTACTTTTTGTGGCCACATTGATACGCAGCGTGACCGCCGCCACCTGAGACCAGGATGTCAGGATGTGTAATTTGTCACCTGCACTGCTGCTGCTGAGAACCGAAGCCAAACCACAACTTCTGTATGTAGGACACTTCCAGCGGTGAAGGCGAAGCTGAATCACAATCTCGTTCTCTGTCAGCTGTTTCAGGACAATGAGAAGCAACGTCAGCGAGCGAGTGACCACAAGTGAAACAGCTAAAACCAAACTGGTGTGATGTGTATCCTACTGAAACTCAGAACTTCTGCAGCGACAGCCGGACCCTTCTGGACAGTTACAGGAATGTCCAACACGTCCTCCAACCTAAACCACAACAACACGACGCACAGGGAGGTAACTACGCCGTGTTAACGTTGTTAAACGCTGGCAGTTTGGTTAGGTTTAAGAAAACATTGTGGTTTGGGTTAAAGTAAGTTCATTACGTAAAAACTCAGGATAACTCAATATTTACTTGGCGCCACACGGGACTCGAACGCTGTTCTCTCGAGTGTAAGGGCGAACTCACCCAGCATGTTTGAACCCCACAGGCCAGTTCGTTTGACCAGTGCGATCGCTAACCGTGCCCGCTGCGCGAGAGAGAGCGCTAACGTAAGCGTGCTCGGGTCGTTAGCGCCGCAATGTGAGCGCAGACCAGCGGGGAGCGGGCAGGGCAACCAGACCTCGTGTAAGAACGCCCCGAGTCTGACCTCCTTATGTGGACCCGCTCACTATTTATAATACGTCACCCGACTTCCTCCTTCGCTACTGTTGTACAGCCAGCAGAGGGCGCTGCCGCCACAAGAAGGTTAATCTGGGTCAAGATGGCGTCCTGTTAATGCAGATACCCAGAATTCAGCAGAGCTGCAAGGTTTTCACACATTTACAGCGATTCACACAGCAGGGGCGCAGCGTGGGGATCTGAGGACAACTGGTATCCCCCCCCCCTCTCCCCCCTCTCTCCCCCTCTCTCTCCCTCTCTCTCCCCCTCTCTCCCTCTCCCCCCTCCTCTCTCCCCCTCCTCTCCTCTCTCCCCCCTCTCTCTCTCCCTCTCTCCCTCTCTCCCCCTCTCTCTCTCTCTCTCCCCCCCCCTCTCTCCCCCTCTCCCCCCTCTCTCTCTTCTCTCTCTCTCTCTCTCTCCCCCTCTCTCCCTCTCCCCCCTCTCTCTCCCTCTCTCTCCCTCCCTCTCTCTCTCTCTCCCCCTCTCTCTCTTCCTCTCTCTCTCCCCCTCTTCCTCTCTCCCTCCCCCCCTCTCTCTTCCTCTCTCCCTCTCCCCCCTCTCTCTCCCTCTCTCTCCCCCTCTCTCCTCCCTCTCCCTCTCTCTCTCCCGGCGTGCCATCTAAGGACAGCTCAGAGCTCCTCCCCCGCTGGAAATGCTATAGACCGAACACACACGTGTAGCTCTGCAGTGCCGTCTCCTCGTGTGAACTCACTCTCTTCTGCCGCATTTCACACACACACACACGTGAGCGCACACACACACACACACACACACACACACATTGACACACAGTGTAAAGCCTCTCAATCGAACTCAATCTGCCACGGCTGAGGTATTAGTCACCAGGGAGAAAACGACGTGCACGTGACCACACACACACTAACCTTTACCAACCGTTGGTCTCTAATCTGATCACAACACGGAGAATAACGACAAAGACAAAGAGAGAAGAGATGGAGACACTCGGTCCAGAGCCTTCAGCGTCATTTCTTAAAGTAAAACACGAGTGAACATCTCAGTTTGGTTGGGAAAGATCAAGGACTGGGTTAATGTCAGTTAATTAAAAGTTAGGTCACTCACGGTCCGCAGTCTGAACCATTAATCCACGCCAACCACCTCCTTCACTTGGACCTTTCTCTTATTTATAGGCCTACTTCTGGCGCTGAACGATGACACTAGAGGGCTTCCCACTGCGTTAAAAACTGACACCACGGGGTTTTTATCAAGCGTCCACCAGACTTGGGAGTGAGGACGGGTTGTGGAAAGAGACAGAATCAAGTTTCCATCCAAATGTAGTGCAAATCTTAACAGAGCTCCCAGAAAACGTGGACTGAACCGGTTTCCATCTAATCAGAACTCTTATTGCAGCAGCTCGGTCGAGCCGGGTGCTGAGTGCAGATGATCCAGCACATAATCAGGAAAAATATACATTTACGTGTACAGTGCGAGTAAAACACAAGCGTTTCTGTATGTCTGTCGTGTGAGAAGAAGCGAAGCGAGCCTTATTAACATTGGGCTACTTCTGGGTTACGTAAAGCTAGTTAGTAAGCTAGTTAGCCGACATGCTAACGTCTGTAGACAGTTTATTCCTTTCCTTAACACTTTTACTTGAAGTCAAAGAACGCTTTGCTCTACAGCTGCTTCGACGTGTGGACCGTCGCCTTCGTCTGCACAGACGTCCTTATAATACCAACCTAACACAGCCACAGATCTGCATGTGTCACAACTATCAAGCATGTTTTATCAGAGGGGATTCAGACACAGCGGAGGTGTTGAGGCGCTGCCAGATGTGGATTTTGAGTATCTGACTGAGCATTTCAGTCTCTTCCTCTTCTCCTACCCGGTACGTCGTGTACAAATGCTTAGGAACCGCTCCTGAAAGATGAAGCGCTTTCTGAAGTGTTAACACGCAGGTCTCACTCTGCACCAAATTAATCTTAATAAGGAGATTGGCAGCGTTGGAAAGAGCTGGCAGAATGACTGACAGCGCCTCATTCAGCGATGAAAAAACGTCGGTGCTTTTTTAAGGACGGCAGGTAACTTTAAACTCTTGATTGACAAAATGAGAACACACGTCTCACCTGGGTCTTTAACAATTTAGAAATATTAAATGATGAATTACAGGGACGGATTGTTAATCCCTAATGAAGCACATTCCTCAAATTAATTCCTAAAATGCCGACTTCTCCTACAGTTAAGCCTAATTAATTAGTGCAGTGAGCCCCGGGGCTGCAGGTATTTATCAGAGAAAGATAAGTAATAAATGAATAAAAAGGATTTTATCTTTTTCTGTTGTTTTTAAGCATTACGCTGCCTCTTCAGAGGTTTTCCAGTCAGCGCAGGTGGGAGGTTTGTGCCTTCTGTGGCATGAAGAAGCACACATTTCATCCACGAAGACACAATAACAACAAACTCCCCGCTGAGTCAAGAAAGAACTCTCCATGTAGAGACAATAATGGAAAGTAATGGACGCCCAGCAAACAGAGTAAAGAGAATGAAACGCTAACGGATGATAAAAGACTGAACGGGCTGGCAGCGCTTCAGTGTTTACTGTCGCCGTCAGCATCAAGTTTAACACCAACTGATCCCGGTCTGATCAGTCAGTAATCAGTAATGATATCGCATCTGAAGCTAAAAGTCCAAACACAAATTATTATTAAAAAGGCGTTTGTTGCTGTTAAACCAAATGATTGTGAGCTGCAGCAGACAGGAGAAAACAAAGCGAACGCCGACAACAGCGATAAACAGAAAGCAATCAAAAGCTGCTCCTGCCCGGAAAATAAAATTACAGCCACGGTGCAACTTGTCATTAGGCCGAGGACGTTGAGATGAGTTTAATCAAACCTCCAGTTAATTCACATTTCCTACGTGTTGGCGGCCGTGCCCTGACGCCGAGCTACAGGACTGCTTCTGTTCTGTCCACAAGAAGGGAAATGATCAAACTGCTGTTCCTCACATTATTTACTTTATTGAAAATTATACATAAAAAATACCAACTTCAACTGTCATGGTAACAATTTATCCTAAATACTACACGTTCCCATCCCAACTCCTCACATGTGGTCGCTTTTCACTCCCCTTTGGTTCCCTTTAGCTTCGTTTATATATCTATATATCGTCATAGTTTCTGTCCAAAGGTAAGAAAAGGTGTTTTTTTACATTCATTTGCTGATTTGAATCATCTTTATTATCGACCAGCAGGACTAAAGTCCTTCCTAACAAAGCTCAGAGGATTCAAAGAGCAAAACGTTCCTGCTTTCGGTTTCAGCACGTTCGTTTGCTCTCGGTCACAGCCGATTGGTGGCTGTGGCTCAGCTCTCCTGCAGGACTCTCTCCTCCAGTCGGGCGTAACGCTTCAGCATCTGGTCGTACACCTGAAACACACGGACACAGAAATGTTTCCCGTCAGCAGGATCACAGACCTGAAGGTCCAGCTGACAGCGGTGAGCAAGTACTGAGAAACTTCACTGGATGTAAAAGTAGCTCATTGCTGTTTCATGTTTCCCGTCATGTTGCCGCTTCATGTTTAATATCCTGCTGTGTGTGTGAGGTGTTTCAGCAGAGCTCATTATTTATGGATGAGCTGTGCTGTTTAATTATGGAAGACGAACATGAGAGAGCATCACTCCCGTAAACATACAACTACATTAGAACAACATGGAGCCGTGTGGAGGGAGGGAGGGGAAAATGAAACTGATGAGGGAGGAATCGCTGCTTTGGTAAATATACAACTGTCTGTGAGCGAGAGAGAGAGAGACTTCCTGTAATTAAAACATCTGTTGCATATTTTATCCGGATGTAAATCGTCCCTGAGTGCGTGCAGAGGAAGAGCAGGAGAGCCTTAACCAAGAAACACTTTGGGAATTCAGCGGGGAGACTGGCTCAGTACCCTCATGTACCCTGGAGATCAGGTCCGGCTCGTTCCCTCTCAGAGCTTCTCTCCTCCCGCTGCAGCGTTGTGGACTTGAAGAGCATCATCAACTCTGTGCTGCATGAAACCAGCTTGTAAACGCAGTCCTGCCAGCAGCAGGACGGGCGCGGACTGTGGTGAACTGTGGGAAACGCTGAGCTCTGAATAGTGTTAGGATCTCATCACTGTGTTGTGTGACACACCCGGCTGCTGTTGTATGAAGACTCGCGTGTTGGTACTAGGGCCACACCAGGGCCACACCAGGGCCACACCAGGGCCACACCAGGGCCACACCAGGGCCAGACCAGGGCCACACCAGGGCCACACCAGGGCCACAAAGTTCCCGTCCGAAGTCCAGGCAGGAAGAGTCCAAGGTGGGATTTTTCCCAGTTTGGTGTTACAGAAGAAAATCCTGTCTTCTCTCAGGTTAAACACTCGATCCAACTTTACTGTCTGTAACCATCTCGCCGAGCTAATCGGCTTTTAATCGGCTTTTAATCGCTCTTCTCTGGTCGTTTTTATGAAGAAAGAAACTGAAAAATGGAGCAGAAACAACAACAACAGCTCTCACTGAGCTTCAAGTCAGAGGACTTGATATCTAAGTCCACATAAACCTTAACAGGGGAGATTAAAGACAGAGAGAGGCTCCTCCTCCTGGGGCTCCTCCTCCTGGGGCTCCTCCTCCTGGGGCTCCTCCTGCTGGGGCTCCCCCTCCTGGGGCTCCTCCTCCTGGGGCTCCCCCTCCTGGGGCTCCTCCTGCTGGGGCTCCCCCTCCTGGGGCTCCTCCTGCTGGGGCTCCTCCTCCTGTGCTCCCTCACTGACCTCGGCAGAAACCCGTGCTCTTCTTGTGAAAGTTATCATGAAGCTAAATTATAATATAATAATAATAATAATAATAATGATATTAAGGGTGACGTCATGTTTTCATGTATTTCTTGATTTTGTAAAAGCAATTAAAGAGCTAACCCAAAGCTAGAATCAAGCAATGTGATTGGTTCATAGCAGTGATATAATGAGCGAATGACGTTGAATTCCTTCCCGCAGATCCGTATCACTCCGCCACAAACAGGGTTCGACTTCTAATCCGTGGGGGTCTCAGGCCCCATTTACACCTGGGGTGTAAGTGGGGCCCGGCATTTTACCGGCCGAGATAAATGAATAAATAAATAAATAATGAGAGAGAGATCATTCCTCATTACGTGATATATTATCTATTATATATTACATATGTGATATAACAGGTTACGTAGGTGATGCGGCACCTGAGAGGAAGTAAAGGTAAATAACACGATTCCTCTTCAAATACAGAACACTCCCTTTTATGGGAACGTGTGCAACATATATTTGTAACTATGAAATAAATAAATGATCTAAAACAATCAAACAGCAGAAGAGTTCGGCGATGTTCTTCAAAATAAAAGTCTATAATGCAGCCGCGTCCCTCCTCTGCACGTGCTGCTGCTGTCTCTGTTTTCATCTGATTTGCATATTCCTGCGTCTCATCGTGATTCTTCGTGCAGATGAATCGGCGTTAAACTGCAGCCGGTGAAGAGGCGCAGACGGGTCGAGCTGTCAAACATTTGAGGGTAATTAAACCGAGCTGGTTGAGATGAACCCTCTGTCTCATACCTGAGGTGACCCCGCCCCCCCGGGAGGCTGAGGAGTGACTGACAGACTAAAAGAAAAAAGGAAAACCCGATCACTGCTCTCCCTGCGACCCTCGCCTCCTTCATCGGCCCTTTCTTCATCACCTCGCTGCTCTCAGAGTTTCACTCTGTCGCTGGAAATCTCTTAAAATTTTTTTTCCCTTCATTATCAGTTTTGTTTTTGAGGAATTGTTTTTCTCCTCTTCCTTCTTATCTTTGAAGTGAAGGGCCGATTTATTTGAAATTCCTCCTGCTCTCTGCCCAGAGACAGGAGGAAAGACACACGCTGATGTCTAAATGCTGCAAATGAAACGAGACTAAAGACTCAGAGTAAAATTAGACTCTTTGAAGTACGAAGAAACAAACCTGACCTGAATTTAAAAAACTGTTTCCTGTGAGCTGTGGTTGGAGGAGGAGCCGACTGCTTTTTAAACCAAAGCGTCCTCACAGTTTGTTGTTACCCTGGCTTTTATTTCTAGCAGTCATTTTGTTCTCTGCTCTGGAAACTGCTAACATGTCAGTAAAGATCATTTCAAATGGAAATCAGCTGAGGGGGGGGGGGGGGCTGATCTTAAAATATTTCCTTTTAATTTACACTGTTTCACTGAGTTAATGTCGTTTTGTCCCGCTAACAAAGCCTGTTCATAGGAAAAGGTGAAATAACATATGGGAGACAAACAGAAGACAACAATTACTCACAGGCAGCAACAAATAGCAGCAACAAATACTCTCACAGGCTGCAACAAATAGCAGCAACAAATACTCTCACAGGCTGCAACAAATACTCTCACAGGCTGCAACAAATACTCTCACAAGCAGCAACAAATACTCTCACAGGCTGCAACAAATAGCAGCAACAAATACTCTCACAGGCTGCAACAAATACTCTCACAGGCAGCAACAAATAGCAGCAACAAATACTCTCACAGGCTGCAACAAGTACTCTCACAGGCAGCAACAAATACTCTCACAGGCAGCAACAAATACTCTCACAGGCAGAAACAAATACTCTCACAGGCAGCAACAAATAGCAGCAACAAATACTCACAGGCAGCAACAAATACTCTCACAGGCAGCAACAAACACTCTCACAGGCAGCAACAAATAGCAGCAACAAATACTCACAGGCAGCAACAAATACTCTCACAGGCAGCAACAAATACTCTCAGGCAACACCAAATAGCAGCAACAAATACTCGCAGGCAGCAACAAATACTCTCACAGGCAACAACAAATAGCAGCAACAAATACTCTCACAGGCTGCAACAAGTACTCTCACAGGCAGCAACAAATACTCTCACAGGCAGCAACAAATACTCTCACAGGCAGCAACAAATACTCTCACAGGCAGAAACAAATACTCTCACAGGCAGCAACAAATAGCAGCAACAAATACTCACAGGCAGCAACAAATACTCTCACAGGCAGCAACAAACACTCTCACAGGCAGCAACAAATAGCAGCAACAAATACTCACAGGCAGCAACAAATACTCTCACAGGCAGCAACAAATACTCTCAGGCAACACCAAATAGCAGCAACAAATACTCGCAGGCAGCAACAAATACTCTCACAGGCAACAACAAATAGCAGCAACAAATACTCTCACAGGCTGCAACAAATACTGACAAGCTGCAACAAATACTGACAGGCAGCAACAAATACTCTCACAGGCAGCATCAAACACTCTCACAGGCAGCAACAAACACTCTCACAGGCAGCAACAAATACTCTCACAGGCAGCAACAAATACTCTCACAGGCAGCAACAAATACTCACAGGCAGCAACAAACACTCACACAGGCAGCAACAAACACTCACACAGGCAGCATCAAACACTCTCACAGGCAGCAACAAACACTCTCACAGGCAGCAACAAACACTCTCACAGGCAGCAACAAATACTCTCACAGGCAGCAACAAATACTCACAGGCAGCAACAAATACTCTCACAGGCAGCAACAAATACTCTCACAGGCAGCAACAAATACTCTCACAGGCAGCAACAAACACTCTCACAGGCAGCAACAAATACTCACAGGCAGCAACAAATACTCTCACAGGCAGCAACAAACACTCACAGGATTTACAGCATTAAGAAACTATTGACAGGATGTCAACCATGTTTACTGTACAATGTTTTAGTTTCGTTCTGTTGTATTTCCACTTTTTATTTTGGCGTTTGTGTTGTCACGTCCTGTCTCTGTCTTCTGCTTCTGGTCCTTGATCATGTTTAGTCAGTTGTTCCACGTTGTCTCTGTTGTTAAATCCATCGTCGTGTGTTAGTGTGTACTTTACTTCCTGCGTTCTGCCTGATTGTTTCCACCTGAGCTTGTTTGGACAGATTCTCTTGGATATTTAGGTTCTCTTGGATATTTAGGTTCTCTTTGTCCGATTGTTAGTTTGCTTCCTGTCGAGTGTCTGTAATTGGTTCTCTGGATGGGGATTGGCTGCCCTCCTCAGCGTCGCTCTTTTCGTTCGGTCATTAAACACCATGAACTGCACCTGCTCTGCATTTGGGCCCAGACCCCCCGTTTCTGCATCTTCGCCTGACAAAGTCTAACATACAATCTGAAACAGGGTTTAAATACAAACTGCAGGTGTGTTTCCTCTCAAGTGTGCAGCCCGTTCTCTCGTTTCACAAAGTTAACCGCCTGTTTTATTTCTGTCTAACCAGACGCTGCATATTTATTCAGGACCGCGGAGCCCTGAATGTGCACACGCTAAAGGTTACCCGGGGTGGCGGGTGTTGACTCAGCGTCCATGTGCAAGGCTCTGGGAAGAGAGGGGGTTAAAATGTGACGCAGGCTTTAATCAATGGACGGATGTCACCTCGTCAGATCCACCGCCGTCCCGCTGATCAGCGTCTAAACGCTCCGGACGACACATCCAGGCTACGGATCTGCTCCCAACTATCAGCCTGAGAAAAACCAGTATAATCAGGTTCCCTCTGTACTGTGAATTCAGGAAAAGGTTCCCCACTAACTTCCACTCTGTGTGTGAACGGCCTGTCATGTAACTTCTTCACCGCTGTTCCACAAGGGAACAAGACATTTAATGAAGAGGCTGTGAAAGTAGGACAGTGTGTGTGTTTGCATCTGCAGCCATGAATGTTTAAATGCGTGTGTGTCTCGTGTTTTCCTGCCTCGGGCCAGCAGCAGGTCTGACTGTCAGCCGTTAACACTGTGGTGTTGTGAAGAAACTAGTACGACACCTTTAGTGTCTCCACAGGGAGCTGCGCTGCGCTAGCTGTTCCACCTCAGTCTCAAAGTCAGTAGGCAAGATGCATTGTGGGTGACGTGGGTGTCAGGTTTTGATAAGTGTGTGGAATTAAAAAGAGGATGCTCTTCTGTATCGATGAGTCTTCTAATGACCAACAACTGAAGCTGTCACAGCCCTCACAGGTTTACAAAGAGAACATTCAGTAAAATGAGCTCCAGCAGCTGCAACATCAACTTTACATATACGTATATATGGATCTGCAGGTAAAGGTGCAGCTGATCATCGATCAGCAGCGTACAGCAAAGGACTCGGCTGGACGCTCTCATCTCTCCACACTGAGCCATGTCTAACTCTTAAAGGGGAGATTTTGCTGGTAACACTTGTGTACTTAACGGAGTAATTAAAGGATCACATGATCTTCCTCGGCAGGTGGACTTCACACGGCTGTCCTGGAGTGGCAGACGTGCAAATTTACACATTACCTGAGCAGCTGGAACATTTAATCTCAGCTTTTAAGCCAACAAGTCTGAAAAGTACTCAGAAGACGGTAAACTCCACGACAGCAGGGCAAACTCCCTCTGCTGCTGAAGATCATGTGAAAGAGTCAAAAGCTCCAGAACTGCTCTCAAACACAGACCTGTGGGGAGACTAAAGTTTGTCTGTGGACACAGAGTCGTAATGTTGAAAAACCGAAACACAAGTTTGTCTGAAATTCAAGCAGTTTAACTTGGTAAATGGTAAAAACACACAAACACACACACCAGCAGTTGGTGGTTTAAATCTCCGCCCCCACACAACACTTCACAACCTCGCGAGTGATGAGCCAAGCAAAACGCCAAAACTCAACAGCGTGTGTGTGTGAGTGTGGGAGGACATACTGCAGGGAAATATGAAGCTCCATACACCAGTAAAACACACTGTGACTAATTTAATAAATGCTAATTAGACTGCTGAGGAACAGAAGCTGTGTGTGCGTGTGCGTGTGCGTGTGCGTGTGCGTGTGCGTGTGTACCTCCGGCGCTGAAGGGTCCGGGGTGGCGACCAGTTGTGGTTCCGGTGCGTTCTTCACCACATCCAAGAAGGAAACTCCAGATTCTGCAACCAGGCCTGAAAACACACGTCAACCAATCAGAGAATCAGGTTTCTGCATCACTAGCCAATCAGACGGCTACTTAGAGCGCCATCAACCAATCAGAAGTTTAGGTTTTGATCCTGCATCGTTAACCAGTCAATCAGTGAGTTACTCACTCATCAGGAGCTCATCTCAGGGCGTCATATACCGACGATTTGAAAAAGAGCGACAAAGCGTGTTATCTGTGTGAGACGCTCTGGGCGTCCCGTACAGACCGGAAGTGCTAGTTAGCTGCGGTAGCTAGCTAGCTAGCTACGTTCGTGATAAAGGCATTGACAGCCCCCGAAGCCCCTACCCTTACCACAACCATCAGAAATGTTAGTACCTAAGCCTAAGTCACTGAATGTATGCATGTCGACCGGCTAACGATACAGCAGCTAACAGGCAGGGTTAGCCTCCCGTGTGTTGCTGCAACGTAGCAAACGGGGGCGTTTCATACGGACTCTGAACCTTTAGCAGAAAAATCATTACGCTTTGTCACGCTGTCTCAAAGCGTCAGTTACGACGCATTTAGATGAGAATGTGTTCTGCATATTTACTCTTCAACCACTGTTAACCAATCAGCAGCTTCGTTAGAGAGTCATTAACCAGCCAGTATCATTAAGAAATTACAGTTACTGCTTCATTAAGCAATCGTCAGGCTACTTCCTGGATGTTAAACAATCAATCACACGGGTTAGGTTGCCACAGAGTTACTTTCTACATTTTCAATCAAACAGATTAAGATTTGAGCAAGCGGCAAACTCTGGCTCTCATGGCTGAAGCCAATGGGAAGTAATCTGCGTCCTCTCCAGCAGCCAGCAGGGGGCGAATCCAGCAGCTGCAGAAAGAAGTGTGATTGTATAGAAGTCTGTGATAAAATGTTTCTACTTGTCAGCTGATTTATTCCCTCAGTAAACACTTTCCTGATGAGTTTCTGGTCTCAGTCGCTAGTTTCAAGTCTTCTTCAACACAGCGTGATGTTCATTTAGTAAATTATGGTCCCATTTAGAGGAACAGAGACCAGGAAGCAGGGGAGGCTTTAGGGCGGGGCTACAAGCTGATTGACAAGTCTCTACCATGGCGACCTGTCACCTGTCTCGTATCCGCTGCTCTGTGTACATTAACCAACCGCTGAAAAAGCTTATCAGGAGTCGGCTGCTCAGTTTTCAAGTTTTGTTTAAGCTTGTTTGTTGCTAGCTAAAATTAGCATCCCAGCTAATATCACAGTTAACGTGAATTACAGATGCACCCAGGTAACCAAGCAAGCTAGCTCCGCCCTCTTTTCCAAATATGGTCACGTCTGGTTCCAAAAACCCAAGATGGCGACGACCAAACTCAAGGCTTCAAAAAGGTAGTCCACAAACCAACTGGTGATGTCACAGCGGCTACGTCCCTCATTTATACAGTGAATGTTTTTGAGTCATTATCCAATCAATAAGTTCTTTAACTGGGAACTAATCCGTGCATCTGCATCGTTAACCAATCACAAGTGTGTTAGGCCAGATGGTTGAGTAATGAGCAGGTTAGTTACATCATAAAGTCGTTAAGCAATCAGTTACTGCTTTGCCAACCAATCATTTGTTTTGTTCTTTGTTACACACTCAGTGTTCCTGGTTCATTAACCAATCAGTTAGTTCCTTTCATTAAGCAATGAGCACATCTGCACTGGTAACCAATCAGGTTAGTGTGTCATTAACCAATCACACTTTTAGTTCTTCACAGCCAATAACAACTCAGGTGGTTTAGTTTCCAAGGTCTTAAACCAATCAGAGGTCTTTTTCCCAGGAGACATTTCAGCCCCACAGGTGCAGATAATAAACTGAGTGATGGCTGGATTCCATTCAGCTGCTTTAGCTTCACGGTGGCTCGCTGAGACGCCTGAATCAAACATTTTGTGCTTCAAAGGTTGAGCTGGGAAACAGATGTGTGAGCAGGTTAGCTCATTAACCAATCTGAGCGTTTGCATTTTACACAACAAGAACAAAATCAATAAGTATAAAAACAAACATGATTACTACGTGATGATTAACTAATCAGCAGTGTTGTTCCTTTGTTGTTAGCTCTCTGTGCTTCAGTCTCAGCGCCGCCGCCGCCGCCACTAATTAGTCTCAGAGGACGTTAACCAATCGGAGGTCCGGCTCGGAGTCTGGTGACCAATTAGTGGCGGACCAATTAACAGACCAGAGGTCGTTAAGCAAACACCATGGGAACACACATTCATTTACGTCACGCTGAGTGTGTCGCGGCGTTAATCACACACAGAAGGTCAGGACGATGCTGAGGAAGCTTATTAGCTCAGCGAAACGCACACAGAAGGTCAGGAGAGGAGCTGCGTCTGAGGACTTTGTGTCACGACCTCATCGAGGCAAAGGATCGCGGGACGGACTCGCACTGTCTTTTTCGGCCCCCATGATGCACTGTGTGTGTTTTACTACCCCGCCGTCGAGGTGAGCTGCCTCCTGACAGAGCAGAGGACAAACACACAGGCTTGTTAACCAATCCAGGTTTCCATCCTCAAACACTTCAGCAACGTGTTTCTGATTTTTTTGTACATACAGATTTCTTTTTGTTAGTGTCTCTGTGGATGTCCAGCCGTCCGTCCACTTTATTTCAGGCTGAAATGTTATTAGATTGTAAATAGTTTGTTATTAAAAATCCTTAGATGGATATATGGAGGTTTTACACTCATCACGGTTCCCAGAGGATGAACCAGACTCGGACGTGTGATGCACTTCTGCTCTGGTTTCCTGAGTTAACGTGACATAAAGAAGAAGCTCTCACCTGCGTGGTGATTGGACCACTGCCTGACCTTTAAACTACATGAGCTCAAGTACAGGATCAATAAACTAATAACAACACCGTGCGTATTACTTAGAGACGGGCGAGTCTCCCGAGGTCTCAGACCAAAATTAAACTGGATTAGAGTAAACAGGCCGTGTGTTTGCTCTGCGAGACCGAGCTGAGTGAGAGGGACGTTGAGGCATCTCATTAATTCAGACAAACAGCGCCGGCTGACCATTAATCGAACACCGATTCCATCACATGGCTTTACTTTACAGTTTCTGGACCAGCTGGGGAACTGAAATAATGCTCCATCCTCACATTGGTTCGATTCAGGAACCGAACCTTTGGGTCTGAGCCCGGCTTCAAAGACAAGAGCTGGAACCATCCATGTAAAAATCAGACAGCTCGCTCGATGAAGCGGTTTAGTACGAGCCCTCTTTTCCCAGACTCTCGACTATGGAGGTGCAGAGTTGATTTATACTGCTGCCGTGCCGTCGTGAACATTTACACTTCTATATTTTAATGTTGGACTTTTCTACACTCTTAATGCTTTATACTTCCTACCCTCGGCTGTGTTTGTGTGACAGATGTTTTTATTTCGCCCTCCTGACCCGGTTAAACAAAGGGGATTAAATTAGCAAGGTTGGATGAATCAGGTGTCCTCCTGGTTCCTCAGAGCTCCAGCACCACAGAGCAGACGCTTCACTGTTGTTTCTGTAACGCTGAGGAAAGGATTGCAGCACTAATGCAAGATGAATGCGTGAAGAGGATTTCTGTGCATCCAGCTCTGTTGCAGAGTAATTGCATGAAGCCCCCCCCCTCCCGGCCCCCCCGAGGCGCCGCCGCCCCTGAGTGAATCAGCGTTCGTCATTAACACCAGGAGGATTGCATTAAGTCTTTTCAAGCCCACGCAACTCACTTTAGATTCTGAAACGCGGTGGGGAGGCTTGAAAGCGCGGGGAGACGGCGGCTGGCGCTGAAGGCCCGACTCTCCTCCTCCACCTCCTGCATACATATTTGATGGCTGTCACACGTGAAATAATCAGCGGCGGAGGGTGTTTGCTATCTCGCCGCTCGCCCAGTCTCTTTCATGTGGAGCGGGCGGGGAATCGTTTTCATCTGGTTTTATGAAGACATGCTACTCGCAGAGATGAAAGGCCCTGATGAGCAGAGAGGAGATGGACGCAGATCCGTTTATCTCATCTAAATGGCTCAGAGTGTGTGAGGAGATAAAGTCCAGCTGTCGAACACACCCGAGTCCTTTACTACGCTTTAAATAAAGACCGACCTGCGCATCAATACTCAGCTGCAGGTCCACTTACTTTCCAGTTTAACACCACCGGATTCTGAACTATCAGAAAGAAAAATGTGATTCAGTTTAGAGGCTGTGTGCTGATCTGTGACCTCAGTCTGGACGTTCACGCGACTCCGATGTCACTCTAGCGCGACCGTCGTCACAGGTCAACTCTAGACGGAGCCGCGGTGAATAAAACAGCTCCGCAGAAGCCAGAATAAAACATGTGGCGCTCTTTGTCCTCGTCCTCGCTATCATCTGCTCACAGATGTCCGTGCTGCCTGTCCAGGTTAGACAGTCCCCGGTTTCGGTGGCCTGTCCCCTGAAATGTCCCCGTATCACAGACTGTATGAGGTGTTAACAGACCTGAAGTCAGATTTTACGTGGCCAGTCAGACTGGACAGCAGAGCAGACAGGTGTTGTGCAGAAAAGTGAGCGCGCTCAGGGTGTTAAAGCTGTATCGCCCCGTCTCTCTTTACGACTACAGCTGCTTTTATCTGGATCCAACAGACATAATGTGCAAATAAACATCACTTTATGACTGTGGTAACAGCAAAGGTTTGTCTTGAATGTCTTGTCTTGTCTTGATGAAACTTTAATGTTTCTTTTAACAGAATAATCGCAATTGTGGCCAAATAAGTGTTTGCAGTTTACAGCGTAACCACGCCAGACATTTTTACATGATTATAGCCAATAACAGAAGCCTGTTGTTGCTGATGGATGATGTGTTTGGTAGGCGTGTGTCTAATATCCTTGTTTATATTTGGAAAACCTATAATTTACATGACTTACTGCTGAGTTACAAAATAAAGACATGATCTATTTTACAATTATCCTTATGACTCTACATTCTTTAACTTACCTTTAAATGCCCAATACAACACATGTAATGCAGTTTTCCACTTCCAGAAAATGACTGCAGCTTTATTGACTGAAAGGTTATTTCTACCCTGAAATGACTTGAGGGTTATATTTGACAGATTATAACTCTCCTGGAATTTTTTCTACCTCTTAAAATACCTTTAAATGGCCAAAACAACACATAAAATGCAGTGTTCTATTTGCCTGACAGTAATTTCAGCCTCTACTTATTGACTGAAGGGTAGTTTCTGCCTCAAAATGACTTGATTTCATTCAGGAGAGTTATATTTGACAGATTATAAAACCTAAATCATCCTCTTTTTTTTCATATATAATAACATTATATTTTTTAATCACATATTAACCACCAAACCAAAAATGTCCCGGTGGTAACAGCAGAAAGAGAGCTGTGGGGCAGAAACAGAAACAGTACTGAATGTAATGAAAAGGACTATAATATGAAGTGTCAGCCAGAAAAATCAGATGTGAGCATTGAGGCCTGCAGAGGGAACGCAGCCTTAGTTGTTGGGGTTAGTAGCGGTACTCCAAAATGCTAATGTTGGATCACAGTGTTTAATAACAAACCAAGTAGCTTCGAAGCAAATATCTTTTTCTGTCTGGTCTCCATATGAACCAGTTCTCTTCTGGAAATTCAGAAGCACGAGTCCTTGTTTGTCCATCATTTAGTTCAAGCTGTGGTCAACACTGATTGGCTGCGGCACCCTCTTTTAAATAATCTCCTTTCTTTCTACATTTGTCTTCTATTCTCTAAACTTCTTTTATCCATTCTTACGTTCCATTTTTCTTTTGTACCTTAAATCTGTCTTTCCGACCGTCTTTAACTCCTCGCGTCTTTATTTCCTTCTCTGCACTCTGCTCTCCAACATAGACATTTCAAATAAAAGCTTACAGTACAATAATGCATAATAAATTTATGCCAGGAGAGATCGTCTTTGTGATGACGACCTCCACAGTGCTGCAGCAGTATCGGCAGTACCGGCAGTATCAGCAGTATCAGCAGTGTCGGCAGTATTAGTAGTATCAGCAGTATTAGTAGTATCAGCAGTATTAGTAGTATCGGCAGTATTAGTAGTATCGGCAGTATTAGTAGTATCAGCAGTATCGGCAGTATTAGTAGTATCAGCAGTATTGGCAGCAGCAGTATCAGTATCAGCAGTATCAGTATCATCAGTATCGGCAGCAGCAGTATCAGTATCATCAGTATCAGTATCATCAGTATCGGCAGCAGCAGTATCAGTATCAGCAGTATCAGTATCATCAGTATCGGCAGCAGCAGTATCGGCAGCAGCAGTATCAGTATCAGCAGTATCAGTATCATCAGTATCGGCAGCAGCAGTATCGGCAGCAGCAGTATCAGTATCATCAGTATCAGTATCATCAGTATCGGCAGCAGCAGTATCAGTATCATCAGTATCAGTATCATCAGTATCGGCAGCAGCAGTATCAGTATCATCAGTATCGGCAGTATCAGTATCGGCAGCAGCAGTATCGGCAGCAGCAGTATCAGTATCATCAGTATCAGTATCATCAGTATCGGCAGCAGCAGTATCAGTATCAGCAGTATCGGCAGTATCAGTATCAGCAGTATCAGTATCAGCAGTATCGGCAGTATATCTGTGTTACCGTGCAGAGCTCTGTAGGCCGACCCCAGGCAGGCGGAGTTGGACAGATCGATGGTGTAAACCGGAGCGTTGAAGACGTCAGACAGAACCTGCGACGGAGAGAAAAGGAAACGAGTTACAGCTTCTGGCTTCCTCCATTAATTAAGCAAACAAAGAACGTCCCAAAAATGAGAAAGAATCATTAGCGGGTTTGTATCTGAAATGAATGAAGCAGTTAAAGGAACAGCCCACAGGTGATTCCCGTGTTTCCCCTGGAATTATCCATAAGCAGCAGCTTCCACACACCTCTGACGGAGACACTGCCACCAAGAAACGTGTGAAACATTAATTACTAAATCTTCCAATCTCCGTGAAAATAAAGCAACACAGTGAACCAATCAGAAAACACGTGACGCCTTCTTATCAACAGAAAGGTTTCCAGGTCAGTTAGTGAGCAGCGGACCTCCAGGATCAGGTCCTTAACATCGAGGGACGAGTCTTCAAATATGCCAGAAATAAAACAACCACATTTTATCTCTCGTTTCATTTGAGTTGAAAAGCTAATCAAAAGTTTAACTAAAGGTTAGATAGTGAATATTCAGGTGAAACACTGCAGGCGAGGTGTCGGCTGATGAGGACGCCCTGAAAGCAACTGGTGGACAGTAATGAGAAGCAGGAGGACTGACCTGCAGAATCTCTTTGTTAGATGAAGCGCCGCCTGTTGCCAACACTCTGGTTCCTGGAACTGCAAACAGACGTTTCAGGGTTCGGCCGGGACTGAAAGTGAAGCAGCTGGTACGTTTGTAAAGAGCCGCTCAGATTTAGATATCCCCTCTGCTGCTCAGGCCCAAACACAAGGTAAAGCCAGGACTCACAGAAAGTCCAGCAGAGACAGGGAGGACTGAAGGAAGGATGGAGGACGGGGACGTTAAGAAAAGGACAGAAAACATTAGAAATCTTACTGATGGAGTAGCCCAGCCTCTCAGCGTGGAGTCTCCTGGACATAAACTGACCCTCCACCAGCGCCCGAACCTCCACCTGAGGACTCAGAGAGGACACCTGCAGGACCAGGACAGGGGGGACAGGTGGAGCATGAACGAGCACAGAGGACTCAGAGGAAGAAGCGATGAAACTGTCTCTCTCTCTGTGTGACTGAATGTCTCTCTCTCTCTCTCTCTGTGTGACTGAATGTCTCTCTCTCTCTCTGTGACTGAATGTCTCTCTCTCTCTCTCTGTGTGACTGAATGTCTCTCTCTCTCTCTCTCTCTCTGTGTGAGTGAATGTCTCTCTCTCTCTCTCTGTGAATGAACGTCTCTCTCTCTCTCTCTGTGTGTGAGTGAATGTCTCTCTCTCTCTCTGTGAGTGAATGTCTCTCTCTCTCTGTGTGTGAGTGAATGTCTCTCTCTCTCTCTGTGACTGAATGTCTCTCTCTCTGTGTGACTGAATGTCTCTCTCTCTCTCTCTGTGAGTGAATGTCTCTCTCTCTCTCTCTGTGAGTGAATCTCTCTCTCTCTCTCTCTCTCTGTGAGTGAATCTCTCTCTCTCTCTCTCTCTGTGTGACTGAATGTCTCTCTCTCTCTCTGTGTGTGTGAATGTCTCTCTCTCTCTCTCTCTGTGAGTGAATGTCTCTCTCTCTCTCTCTCTGTGAGTGAATGTCTCTCTCTCTCTCTCTCTGTGAGTGAATGTCTCTCTCTCTCTCTCTGTGAATGAATGTCTCTCTCTCTCTCTCTCTGTGTGAGTGAATGTCTCTCTCTCTCTGTGTGAGTGAATGTCTCTCTCTCTCTCTGTGTGACTGAATGTCTCTCTCTCTCTCTCTCTCTGTCTCTGTGAGTGAATGTCTCTCTCTCTCTCTCTGTGTGAGTGAATGTCTCTCTCTCTCTCTCTCTCTGTGTGAGTGAATGTCTCTCTCTCTCTCTCTCTCTCTCTGTGTGACTGAATGTCTCTCTCTCTCTCTCTGTGTGAGTGAATGTCTCTCTCTCTCTCTGTGTGAGTGAATGTCTCTCTCTCTCTCTCTGTGTGAGTGAATGTCTCTCTCTCTCTCTCTGTGTGAGTGAATGTCTCTCTCTCTCTCTCTGTGTGACTGAATGTCTCTCCACCCACCTTGTTGTCGTCTGAATCAAAGAGGTGAACTCCTACTGCAGGAGGTGTGATCTCCATGGTGTCAAAATAAAAGCCTGCAAACACAAGCAACCAATCAGAGGGAGGACGGAGGAGAGGACGAGAACAGAAGGAATAAGGAAGGAAAGGAAGGAAGGACAGATAAATAAAGGAACAGTGAAGGAAGGAAGGAAGGAAAGGAAGGAAGGACAGATAACTAAAGGAACTGTGAAGGAAGGAAGGAAGGATAACTAAAGGAACTGTGAAGGAAGGAAGGATAAATAAAGGAACAGTGAAGGAAGGAAGGAAGGAAGGAAGGAAGGATAACTAAAGGAATTGTGAAGGAAGGAAGGAAGGATAACTAAAGGAATTGTGAAGGAAGGAAGGATAAATAAAGGAACAGAGAAGGAAGGAAGGAAGGAAGGACGGACAGATAACTAAAGGAACTGTGAAGGAAGGAAGGACAGATAACTAAAGGAACTGTGAAGGATAGGAAGGAAGGATAAATAAAGGAACAGTGAAGGAAGGAAGGAAGAAGGACGGACAGATAACTAAAGGAACTGTGAAGGAAGGAAGGACAGATAACTAAAGGAACTGTAAAGGAAGGAAGGAAAGATAAATAAAGGAACAGTGAAGGAAGGAAGGAAGGAAAGGAAGGAAGGACAGATAACTAAAGGAACTGTGAAGGAAGGACAGATAACTAAAGGAACAGTGAAGGATAGGAAGGAAGGATAAATAAAGGAACAGTGAAGGAAGGAAGGAAGGAAAGGAAGGAAGGACAGATAACTAAAGGAACAGTGAAGGAAGGAAGGAAAAAGGAAGGACAGATAACTAAAGGAACAGTGAAGGAAGGAAGGAAGGAAAGGAAGGAAGGACAGATAACTAAAGGAACTGTGAAGGAAGGACAGATAACTAAAGGAATTGTGAAGGAAGGAAAGATAACTAAAGGAACTGTGAAGGAAGGAAGGATAAATAAAGGAACAGTGAAGGAAGGAAGGAAGGAAGGAAGGAAGGAAGGATAACTAAAGGAACAGTGAAGGAAGGAAGGAAGGAAGGAAGGATAACTAAAGGAATTGTGAAGGAAGGAAGGAAGGAAGGAAGGAAGGAAGGAAGGATAACTAAAGGAATTGTGAAGGAAGGAAGGATAAATAAAGGAACAGAGAAGGAAGGAAGGAAGGAAGGACGGACAGATAACTAAAGGAACTGTGAAGGAAGGAAGGACAGATAACTAAAGGAACTGTGAAGGATAGGAAGGAAGGATAAATAAAGGAACAGTGAAGGAAGGAAGGAAGGAAAGGAAGGAAGGACAGATAACTAAAGGAACTGTGAAGGAAGGACAGATAACTAAAGGAACAGTGAAGGATAGGAAGGAAGGATAAATAAAGGAACAGTGAAGGAAGGAAGGAAGGAAAGGAAGGAAGGACAGATAACTAAAGGAACTGTGAAGGAAGGAAGGAAGGACAGATAACTAAAGGAACAGTGAAGGAAGGAAGGAAGGAAAGGAAGGAAGGACAGATAACTAAAGGAACTGTGAAGGAAGGAAGGAAGGAAAGGAAGGAAGGACAGATAACTAAAGGAACTGTGAAGGAAGGAAGGAAGGAAGGAAGGAAGGAAGGAAGGACAGATAAAAAAAGGAACAGTGAAGGAAGGAAGGATAAATAAAGGAACAGTGAAGGAAGGAAGGAAAGGAAGGAAGGACAGATAACTAAAGGAACAGTGAAGGAAGGAAGGAAGGAAGGAAGGACAGATAACTAAAGGAACTGTGAAGGAAGGAAGGAAGGAAAGGAAGGACAGATAACTAAAGGAACTGTGAAGGAAGGAAGGAAGGAAGGAAGGAAGGAAGGAAGGACAGATAAAAAAAGGAACAGTGAAGGAAGGAAGGATAAATAAAGGAACTGTGAAGGAAGGAAGGAAAGGAAGGATAAATAAAGGAACTGTGAAGGAAGGAAGGAAGGAAGGAAGGACAGATAAATAAAGGAATTGTGAAGGAATGAAGGACAGATAACTAAAGGAATTGTGAAGGAATGAAGGACAGATAAATAAAGGAATTGTGAAGGAAGGAAGGACAGATAAATAAAGGAATTGTGAAGGAAGGAAGGACAGATAAATAAAGGAATTGTGAAGGAAGGAAGGACAGATAAATAAAGGAATTGTGAAGGAAGGAAGGACAGATAAATAAAGGAATTGTGAAGGAATGAAGGACAGATAACTAAAGGAATTGTGAAGGAATGAAGGACAGATAAATAAAGGAACTGTGAAGGAAGGAAGGACAGATAACTAAAGGAACTGTGAAGGAAGGAAGGAAGGAAGGATAAATAAAGGAACTGTGAAGGAAGGAAGGAAGGATAAATAAAGGAACTGTGAAGGAAGGAAGGAAGGAAGGATAAATAAAGGAACTGTGAAGGAAGGAAGGATAAATAAAGGAACTGTGAAGGAAGGAAGGATAAATAAAGGAACTGTGAAGGAAGGAAGGAAGCTTCACCTATGTTCCCGTTGTTTCCCAGCGGCGTGTCCCTCAAGGCGGCAGAAAACCCTTCCCATGATCCTCCAGCACACTCGTTCCTGATGCGTTCCCTCGTCAGAGAGCCGTTCTTGAAGCTGGGGATAAAACACACACACGTGACTTCCTGTCTGAGGCCGCGAGCTGCGAGCCCATTGGTTCCTGCTGAAGACCTAAACCAGCTCAGAGACGTGGTTTGCTGCTAATCTGCTGGACTGGTGCGGCTTTAAAGAACCTGGATCCCGACCGAGGCTCTTTCTTTCTGGTCTGCACACATACGTACCTGCAGTTATTTAAAGTTCTCTTAAAGTATTTTCTGCAGTATCTTGTAGTATTTTACAGAATAAACAGAGTGGCCGTCCAGGTTCGTACCACAGCAGAGCCATGTAGGCCCGCCGGTCGACGGGGTTGCAGAAGATGTGCCCCTCCGGCGCCGGGCGAGGCCGCCGGATCCACAGGAACAGCGTGTCGCTGGTGCCGAGGGACACCTGGAGACACAGAGGACACACATGAAGACGTCCGGACTCTGCTCTGCACACGAGCGACGGGCTGGATGGAGACTTACAGCCGTGTCTCCCCGCTGGAGCCTCATTCCTGCCAGAGACGCTGGGGAGGAGAGAAAACACGCTTTAGTCACGGCCTCGTCTCCTCGTCTGTCAGCGCTCTGCAGGTCCTGAAGGTGGTCTCAGGTGGACCAGATGTACAGTACGCAGACGGTCTGAGGAAATGCGTTTAGCTTGTTGTCATTTTATTTTGGTAATCTTTAACGCTACTTCCTCTCAGCAGCACGGCCGCCTCGATGCGAGGCAGTAAAACCTGATGACAGCCGGCAGCTGCCGACTGCAGGAGGAAGAGCTCGTCTTAAAAAGCAGAGAAAGATCCGTTTGGCCAGACTGCAGCTCAGCAGCTCCGCCTTGTGTTCAGCCGGCGGAGCTACAGGACGCAGCAGCTTTTAGATTCACAGCAGCACGTTCAAGATGAATCTGTGCTGTTTAATAAACGTGATCCGTCAGCAGGAAGCAGTAAACCTGAGTCTGGATCAGAGACCCGTCTCATCTGTCCTCAAAGCAACAGGACACAGCAGAGGTCTCTCTGTAAAGTAAACATTCCTACTTCCTATTTCACAACCTCTGGAGAACACAAACAAACAAACAAACAAACAAACACTAATCACGTCCTGGTTCATAAAGAACCTGATGGCTGAAATCTGAGCCCAGTCGTTCAGACCTCCTGCAGGAGCTGGATCTCCCTGCAGGAGGTCTTTGGGTTACCTGGGTTGTCTCCGGTGAAAGCCACCACCCTGCAGCTCTCAGAGAAACCGCATCGCTGCACAAAGTAGGAGGAGACGGGGCCCTGCAACGACACACAGAGGGGGCCCTGAAGCACACATCGGACCAGACTCGAAGCAGACCGGCGGGGACCGGTCTTACCAGTACAGATGTGGAGGGAAGCGGCGCTCCCAGCAGCCGGCCCAGATGAGGAGCGGTGGCTTCCAGGCAGACCTCAGACCAGTTCCTGGTCCTGATGTCCAACAGATTCATCCCTGAACCTGGAACCATTTCATCAGCCAATCAGATTCTCTGTCACACAGGAAGGTTCCAGCATTTTACAAGAAGTGTTTTTGTGGTGGTCCGCCGTACCGTCACTGTAGTCGATGGCGGCGTAACCACCGAGGAAGAGCGAAGCTGCGAAGCTGCTGACCAACGAGATCCTCTGAAAACACACACAGGTCGGTGACCGTGAGCTACCGAACCTCCGTCTGTATTAACACACCAATCACCAGTGAAGAGCGGCGCCGGCTGACCTCGGTCTCCTGGAACTGCTCCGCTTGGGTCAGCCTCAGCTTGGCGATCTGGTTTCCTGTGAAACGCTGCAGACAAACAGGTTCATCTCAAACGGACGCACAGACAGAAATAACACACAGAGTCAGCAGAGAGACAGACAGGTGGACACTCTGACCTCGTAGGCTCTGGATCCGGTGATCTCTGCCAGTCTCAGGGGCCCCCCTGCTGCTGCCTGCAGGTCCAGACACTGCTGAGTGCTGCTGGAGTCCATCCACACGGGACAGTCGGACACCGAGAAGCTGCCCTGTTAACACACCAGCAACCGTGAGGACACAGTACCGGCCCAGCCCGCGTCCCAGTTCACTGTAGATACACAGACCTGCAGCAGCTGGTGCAGGTTCTGGTCCGGGTCCAGCTGTTTCAGAGTCTCGGACGCTCCTCTCCTCCAGTACACACTGCCGTGTTGCTGAGAGGACGACCGAGTACAGACACGTTCAAAGACTCCGTTAGAGAAACGGTCACCTTTCACCAAACTCCACTCACTTTTCTATCGATTTTAGGGAAATCTGTCAGCAGGTGAACTTCCTGTCTCACCTGGCCGCTGCCTGACAGCGCTCTGACGCGGGAGAAGTCAAGCCCCGCCCTCTTCAGCTTGTCCAGCAGCAGGTCCAGAGCCTGACGACACACACGAAGACACAACAAGACCGGTTTAAAGAGCTGTTCGAGGGTCCGGACTTGGTTTCAGGGTTCGGGTTGAAGTAAGCGAAGGCCTCACCTTGACCCACATCAGCACAGGAGAGGTGACCGTCAGCCCGTCAGCATGGATGTGGACTCCTCCCTGAGTCCTGGACACAAACACCAGAACCAGAACTAACTACTCAGTTTCAAAATAAAACATACTACTAGGAGTAGTACTCCTACTGCAGCGTGGTGAGGAGTGTCACCTGAACTCTGGCAGCTCCTGGTCAAACTGCACACTGTTCTGATGAACGACGTTCAGGTTTCCATCCATCGCCACCACCTTCAGCTACCAGTACACACCGGCAGGAAAAAGTACACACAAGTATCATCAGCTTCATGTAGTTAGAGAATGAGCAGTAAAAGTACACACCAGCAGTAAAAGTACACACCAGCAGTCACCGACACGGAGCCGACGTCCAGCTGACTGTATGATCAATAATCGATCAGGTGACTTTTGTTGCTCCAGCTGGAGAACTGAAACGTTTAGTTCAGGGACCGTGTAAAAAAGAGCATCTGACTTACTGCAGTACTATGAGTACACGCTGCAGTACTATGAGTACACGCTGCAGTACTATGAGTACACGCTGCAGTACTATGAGTACATGCTGCAGTACTGCACAGTGAGTACATTCTGCAGTACTGCACAGTGAGTACATTCTGCAGTACTGCACAGTGAGTACATTCTGCAGTACTGCACAGTGAGTACATTCTGCAGTACTGCACAGTGAGTACATTCTACAGTACTACAGTACATTCTGCAGTACTACAGTCCTGCAGTACTGCACTGTGAGTACATTCTGCAGTACTACAGTCCTGCGTACTACACTGTGAGTACATTCTGCAGTACTACACTGTGAGTACATTCTGCAGTACTACAGTCCTGCAGTACTACACTGTGAGTACATTCTGCAGTACTACACTGTGAGTACATTCTGCAGTACTACAGTCCTGCAGTACTACACTGTGAGTACATTCTGCAGTACTACAGTCCATTCTGCTGTACTACACTGTGAATACATTCTGCAGTACTACAGTACATTCTGCAGTACTACACTGTGAATACATTCTGCAGTACTACAGTCCTGCAGTACTACACTGTGAGTACATTCTGCAGTACTACAGTCCTGCAGTACTACACTGTGAATACATTCTGCAGTACTACAGTCCTGCAGTACTACACTGTGAGTACATTCTGCAGTACTACAGTCCTGCAGTACTACACTGTGAGTACATTCTGCAGTACTACACTGTGAGTACATTCTGCAGTACTACAGTCCTGCAGTACTACACTGTGAGTACATTCTGCAGTACTACACTGTGAGTACATTCTGCAGTACTACAGTCCTGCAGTACTACACTGTGAGTACATTCTGCAGTACTACAGTACATTCTGCAGTACTACAGTACATTCTGCAGTACTACAGTACATTCTGCTGTACTACACTGTGAATACATTCTGCAGTACTACAGTACATTCTGCAGTACTACACTGTGAATACATTCTGCAGTACTACAGTCCTGCAGTACTACACTGTGAGTACATTCTGCAGTACTACAGTCCTGCAGTACTACACTGTGAGTACATTCTGCAGTACTACACTGTGAGTACATTCTGCAGTACTACAGTCCTGCAGTACTACACTGTGAGTACATTCTGCAGTACTACACTGTGAGTACATTCTGCAGTACTACAGTACATTCTGCAGTACTACAGTACATTCTACAGTACTTCAGGACTTGACCGGACTGTTCAGGTCCGAAGTCTGAAACCTTCACGCGACTCAAATTCAAACTCGGCAGCAGACGCACTTCCGCGTCTGCGCGACAACCCGCTGTTTAAACTGTGGCTGCGCGCAGCCACGTGCGTAAAGCGCGTCCCCTGTAAAAGGCGCAGGTGAGTGAGGCTGCGTGAAATGAAGAGATTTACCTGCTGCGTGCTGAAGTCGAAGCCCAGGTAGAGAGAAGCGGCGGCCATCATGGGCACGAGGAGGAGGAGGAGGAGGAGGAGGGTCAACATTTAAAGAGACAGTAACACATTTAGACAGTACAGGTAAATAAACTCACTGAGGTGGAGGAAGTAAAAGTACTAATACCATACTGCTGTATTAGTATACAGTATTAGAGCAGTAAAATGTGCATGTTGTACTAATACTCTCAGAGGTGGTATTCAGTATTCAGATCCTTTACTTATAAGTCCAAGTAGTAATATCACACTGAGAAAACACTCAGGACTACAAGTAAAAGTCCTGCATTCAAACCCCTACTTAAGTAAAAGTATGGAAGTACCATCAAGAAAATGTGGTTAAAGTAAAAGTACTCGTTCCCTGTTTGATGAAAGATCCGGGTCTTCTTCCTCCTCGCTGATGTAAAGCAGGATGTTGCTGCTGCAGCTCCTTCTGGATCAACCTGCTCATATTTCCTCCATCAGTACACGGATTGTTTGGTTTGTAAAGATTCAGCCGTCACTCAGAGCCCAAAGAGACGACATCACAACTGAAACATCATTGATTAATGGATTCAGCTGGACGGAACAACCTGCTGGCAGTTTAACTAGAACACGGCAGCCAAAACAACATAAACTGGTGCAGCATAAACCGGATTACACTGTGCAGTATAACTGGTATTAACTGTTAAACTGGTACAGTATAAACTGGTGCAGTATAAACTGGTGCAGTATAAGCTGGTTTACACTGTGCGGTATAAACTGGTGCAGCATAAACTGGTTTACATTGTGCAGTATAAACTGGTGCAGTATAAACTGGTATTAACTGGTTAACTGGTGCAGTATAAACTGGTGCAGTATAAACTGGTGCAGTATAAACTGGTTTACACTGTGCAGTATAAACTGGTGCAGTATAAACTGGTTTACACTGTGCGGTATAAACTGGTGCAGTATAAACTGGTGCAGTATAAACTGGTTTACACTGTGCGGTATAAACTGGTTTACACTGTGCGGTATAAACTGGTGCAGTATCAACTGGTGCAGTATAAACTGGTTTACACTGTGCGGTATAAACTGGTTTACACTGTGCGGTATAAACTGGTTTACACTGTGCGGTATAAACTGGTTTACACTGTGCGGTATAAACTGGTGCAGTATCAACTGGTGCAGTATAAACTGGTTTACACTGTGCGGTATAAACTGGTTTACACTGTGCGTATAAACTGGTTTACACTGTGCGGTATAAACTGGTTTACACTGTGCGGTATAAACTGGTGCAGTATCAACTGGTGCAGTATAAACTGGTTTACACTGTGCGGTATAAACTGGTGCAGTATAAACTGGTTTACAATGTGCAGTATAAACTGGTGCAGTATAAACTGGTGCAGTATAAACTGTTTACACTGTGCAGTATAAACTGGTGCAGTATAACTGGTTTACATTGTGCAGTATAAACTGGTGCAGTACAAACTGGTTCACACTGTGCAGTATAAACTGGTGCAGTATAAACTGGTGCAGTATAAACTGGTTTACATTGTGCAGTATAAACTGGTGCAGTATAAACTGGTTTACATTGTGCAGTATAAACTGGTGCAGTATAAACTGGTTTACAATGTGCAGCATAAACTGGTGCAGTATAAACTGGTTTACAATGTGCAGTATAAACTGGTGCAGTATAAACTGGTTTACATTGTGCAGTATAAACTGGTGCAGTATAAACTGGTTTACATTGTGCAGTATAAACTGGTGCAGTACAAACTGGTTCACACTGTGCAGTATAAACTGGTGCAGTATAAACTGGTTTACAATGTGCAGTATAAACTGGTGCAGTATAAACTGGTTCACACTGTGCAGTATAAACTGGTGCAGTACAAACTGGTTTACACTGTACAGTATAAATTGGTGCAGTATAAAGTGGTGCAGTATAAACTGGTTTACATTGTGCAGTATAAACTGGTGCAGTACAAACTGGTTTACATTGTGCAGTATAAACTGGTGCAGTATAAACTGGTTTACATTGTGCAGTATAAACTGGTGCAGTACAAACTGGTTTACATTGTGCAGTATAAACTGGTGCAGTATAAACTGGTTTACATTGTGCAGTATAAACTGGTGCAGTACAAACTGGTTTACATTGTGCAGTATAAACTGGTGCAGTATAAACTGGTTCACACTGTGCAGTATAAACTGGTGCAGTATAAACTGGTTCACACTGTGCAGTATAAACTGGTGCAGTATAAACTGGTTTACATTGTGCAGTATAAACTGGTGCAGTATAAACTGGTTTACATTGTGCAGTATAAACTGGTGCAGTATAAACTGGTTCACACTGTGCAGTATAAACTGGTGCAGTATAAACTGGTTTACATTGTGCAGTATAAACTGGTGCAGTATAAACTGGTGCAGTATAAACTGGTTTACATTGTGCAGTATAAACTGGTGCAGTATAAACTGGTGCAGTATAATGGATTACATTGTGCAGTATAAACTGGTGCAGTATAAACTGGTGCAGTATAAACTGGTTACATTGTGCAGTATAAACTGGTGCAGTATAAACTGGTGCAGTATAAACTGGATTACACTGTGCAGTATAAACTGGTGCAGTAAAACTGGTATTAATGGTGAAACTGGTATTAACTGGTTAAACTGGTTTTAGCTGGTATGTGCTGGCTCACAGTTTGATCTCTTGTCTCTGAACTTTAATCCTGTTTAATTACGCTCTGAATAATAATGAACAGCTCTTAATCAAGAGTTTGCCGCGTTTGTTCTTCACTCTGTCAAAAAACTGATTGTGTGAACAAAAAGGTCAACGCACCGTCCTTCACTGTTTACACACCAATCACAGCCAGAGAATAATGCAGCACTGTGTGAGTTTTAATCAGTCCAGCTTCCTGCTGACCAGGTAACACAGCAGAAACACCGCCGTTCGGTTTTCTCCTCATTTCTGCCTCCAGCGGCCCGAACGCCTCATTTACCTTCTGCTGTTGCAGGTTTCACCATATCCAGACCCATTCAGGAGCAAGTTGTGTCCGTCTGAGCGGGTTTTAAACACACCGCGAGTCCATTTCATGCAGGAGGTGGAGGCTGGTATACTGAGCAGGTGTGTCTGCTGCTGATGCCAACAGGATGTCCTGCTGCTGCTGCTGCTGCTGTGTGACGCCCAGCGGGGAGCTGCTGGAGGGTGAAAATCACACACACAACACGCAGTTTAAATACACACAACACGCAGTTTAAATGCACAACACGCAGTTTAAATGCACACAACACGCAGTTTAACAACACGCAGTTTAAATACACACAACACGCAGTTTAAATGCACACAACACGCAGTTTAAATGCACACAACACGCAGTTTAAATGCACACAACACGCAGTTTAAATACACACAACACGCAGTTTAAATACACACAACACGCAGTTTAAATGCACACAACACGCAGTTTAAATGCACACAACACGCAGTTTAAATGCACACAACACGCAGTTTAAATGCACGCAGTTTAAATACACACAACACGCAGTTTAAATGCACCCAACACGCAGTTTAAATGCACACAACACGCAGTTTAAATGCACACAACACGCAGTTTAAATGCACACAACACGCAGTTTAAATGCACCCAACACGCAGTTTAAATACACACAACACGCAGTTTAAATGCACACACACGCAGTTTAAATGCACCCAACACGCAGTTTAAATGCACCCAACACGCAGTTTAAATGCACCCAACACGCAGTTTAAATGCACACAACACGCAGTTTAATGCACACAACACGCAGTTTAAATGCACACAACACGCAGTTTAAATGCACACAACACGCAGTTTAAATGCACACAACACGCAGTTTAAATGCACCCAACACGCAGTTTTAAATGCACCCAACACGCAGTTTAAATGCACACACACGCAGTTTAAATGCACACAACACGCAGTTTAAATGCACACAACACGCAGTTTAAATGCACACAACACGCAGTTTAAATGCACACAACACGCAGTTTAAATGCACACAACACGCAGTTTAAATACACCCAACACGCAGTTTAAATGCACACAACACGCATTTAAATGCACAACACGCAGTTTAAATGCTCTAACGATTATTAGAAGAAAATAAGAAGAAAACTGCAGTAAAAGTGTTGAAAACAATCACTTATTCAATTTCATGTGCATAAAAATATCTATTTCATCCAGTGACTCATCAGATGCATGTGAATAATACTAGAGACTTTAATTAGGACAGATTTGTAGTTCTTTAAAATATATTATAAATAGTATTTTCCTAAAGACAGATAAAGACGCTGCAGTGTCTGCAGGTCAAAGGTCACCTGAGTCTCTCCTGCAGGGATCAGGAAGAAGGAGCGGCTGGTGAGAGGAAGGGAGGAGGAGGAGGAGGAGGAGGAGGAGGAGGAGTGTGCAGGAGAGGAAGGGCAGAGCCGAAGGAACATGGACGTGTCTCTGCTCAGGAACAGTACAGGTGCACCAGAGAGAGACAGAGGAGACACACTCAGGTGCTTCTGTTCAGGACAGGTGAGGATCAAACTCACGTCGCGCTGAGGAAAGTGCTGGAACATGAAGCGATACAGGCGGGAACATGTTGGTGGAGGGAAAAGTTAGTTTCAGGGAGAAAATGTTTGTTTTAAACTGCGTGAAGTTGATTCCTTCTCTGTTCGGGATCGTGTCAAGCCAACAGAGACTTCCTGTCAGAGATTTCAAAATAAAAGCATTCGCAGCACTGAAGCTTTAAAGGCAGCTTTACTGCTCTGGCTGTGATGTAACTGCTACTTTAATACTGTAGTTTCACTGTTGGCTTGTTAATGTGTCAAGGAGGTTTTAATGTACTTAAATGTACAGTACAGAATGTGGTATATTCTCCTCCTCTCCTCTCTCCCCTCATCTCTCTCCTCTCTCCTCCTCTCCCCTCTCTCCTCTCTCCTCCTCTTCCCCTCCTCTCCCCTCTCTCCTCCCCCTCCTCCTCCCCCTCCTCTCTCCTCTCTCTCCTCTCTCTCCTTCCTCCTCCTCCCCTCCTCCTCTCCTCTCTCCTCTCCTCCTCCTCCTCTCTCTCTCTCTCTCTCCTCTTCCTCCTCCCCTCTCTCCTCTCTCCTCCTCCTCCCCCTCCTCTCTCC